ATGAAGCTTAACCTCATCAACTACCGACCAGACTATAAAACCCTCAGCGAATACATGCACCACCAGAAGTCACATTAACAATGAGTATTATAAATACATTATTTGAAAGAACAAATTCAGAGGCTTATTATACTCGCATTTAATAGAATTTCATTTTAAAATATCCTATATGGCTCTTTCTGAAATATATTTCCAAATATTTGCTTTCTTGGCTCTCTGAGTTAAAAAGGTCGCCGACCCCTGATCTAGGGAATTCAAGCGTTGCAGGATAACTGACTCCTGAAAGATCGTGAACACTTTTTTCCAGCACGTCCATGCCTCCAAACATAACGACTTCACTAGTAAAAACCAGAGGCAGCAGACAATAACGCACTGTTTAAATTCGCCCTAACGAGCCACCTTCTTTTGTGTACTCACTCAATATGACAGCGCATTATTTCTGTATCTGTTTAAAGTTGTGGAACCATTGGCCGACGCTCCTACACAGCCAATGCGACATTGTCTACGACTGAATGGACTACAAACTGGATAAAATAGATACAATGATGCTGATGATGATATAAATTGGAGAATGCCGCTGAAATGTGCCCGTGGGTATGCCCATGACTGTGATCCGGGGTGGGACTTATAGAAGATGTGAAAAGAACCATGAAAATGACCAGTTCAGTCTTGCTAGTTTCTGACGGCTCATAATACGCGATCACCACCTAAGAAAACAGGACAGAACAGGAGACACGCCAGAATGGGTAGGTGAGCTTCACTGCCATATACCAACTTAAACGGTGACGAAGAATTGTATTACTGAACTCGTCCAAAACTAGGCAAAATTAAACGTCCATACCGACTGAAAACCTGGAATTACCAAGGAAAACCCAGTGTACAGGGACGCGTCCATTTACCAACGCTGGTCGGAGGTATGCGCTATGGGCACAAGAACCTCACTCCAAATCGACATGTTGTCAGTACCAAGTAGAGCAGAGCTTAACCTGTTTACAAATACTGCATGATGTGCGATACTGACAGCACAGGTTTACTTGGTTGATAAATATATATATATTTTTTATTGTCCTCAATGAAAAATGCCAAAAATAGCAGCATATATGAGAATCAAATCACAGTTTCAGCTAAGAACGAAGTTGTTTGCGGTGGAAGATCACTATAAAACAAGCTAACTCCCACGTCAATAGGGTGTCTTCTAGGTAGAGGGAGGGGGAATCAGCCTCATAAAACCTTCTAAACACAGAAAACTGAAAATTCAATTCAGGAGGCACTGCTACTGTGAAGAGAGGGATAAACGCAACTTCGCAATCTGGGCATCGAGAGAGGAGAGGCCACTACGAAACTGGACTTCGTCTACTGTTCTGAGGGATGAAACGGAACTGTATAAGGAGCCGAGGGGCGTCTCGGCCCGAGCCAAAGGGGCACTCGGGGGTCGCCTATACCTGGGGGCTGCTGGGCATATGTCGGATATACTATCCTTGTCTAATTCGCCGTCGGTCTCCAAATCATCCGCGTTTTCGCTGCTTGTAGAGTTCGCTTTCGGGTCGTTGTTAGTCTTCATTCCGCCAAATGCGGGTTCACGACTGGCAAC